CATTCTTAGGGCAGTCTATTGAGAATAGAAATGCGTCAGAAATATATCAACGACACTGAATGTAAACGAAAACCGGTCATGGTAGCTCTGATTAACTGGCATCAGTATAAAATACTTGATGAAATACGGAGGATACACTGTTATTCCAGTAATCGCATAAAGCCATCTGATGAGACCTATGAGCAAGGTCGAAACCGGTAATAGATGTACACAATATGCTTCATAAAGCAAACTATAACGGAAACCATATAATATTTAAATTAACACTCAACAGAAAGCACGGCAAAATTTTAAAAGAGGCCGATTTCATCGGTTATTGACCACCATCCTTTGTTATGAAGAATCCATATTCAGATTTATTGCGTTTAAAACATGGAATAATGATATCTGAGGAACGCGTGGTTATTTGTAAAAAATGTCTGGTCGTGGTAGCTCTTGTTAATAGACTAATCTAAAGTCACATATGTAATAAATAGTTATTTATAATGATTATTTATAAATGACACATTTGATACATATGACATAAAGCCACCTGAAGAGGCCCTTGAGCAAGGCCGAAACTAGACATCAATATTTTAAACAGAAACTATTGTGTATTGTATGCCACTTTTTATAATCAATAAAAGCCATCTCGTGATTTCGGTACAGATCAGAACTAAGATGGATTCTAGTGAAATACATCATCGACATGAATGACCTAGATAGAAAAACAACTATGTACAAACTTGAAGCAATTTGAAAAGCATAAACATATGTCGAAGATCTAAAGCATTCAATTAAGATATCGATATGATATTTATGAATTCTGTTTTTATGTTCTAGATTATAATTACTATTTTTATACAATATTATAAAATGTCATCGAAACAGTATTCTGCTGAACGGATTGCTATTGCTGAAGAAGAACAGCGACAGGTACTTATATCTACTTTCAACTCTATTTGATTACTTATATAAGTCTGTATCTATCTTTCTTGTATTTAGATACAAGAAATTATCCACAAAAAGGATTTTCTTCTTCATGTCGTCTTATCAAAAGACAAAAAGGTAAAAAAAAATTGCTACTTGACATAGATCCAGTAATAGCTTTAAGCTTGAAGTATTTATATTCATTCTTATGAATTTAGTTTCTTCTCCCATTCTCTCGTCGTCCGATTGATATGGGATTAGATCCATTTATCGATGAACATGATTCATCATTGATCATACGTGTTGCTGGAGTGATGGATCTTCGGATGGATTCCAGCCCAATCCATCCAAATAAAAAAATTATTCGAATCATCGATGAAACGTAAGTGTAATCAGCATTTATCACGAAAGACAAATTACATTTGAAGTATCTCTGCATGATTTTCTTTTCTATTTCCCAATAGAATCGACAATTTCCACGACTTTCGTGCATTAATACCACGAAAATAACATTTTTCTTCTTTTTTGTTTTTCTTCTCTTGTGCTTTGTATCTATATTCCGTATAATTTGTCTTGAATTTTCGATTATGTTCATTATGTGCTTTGTCTATTGTACGTAATTGAATAATAAATCGAGATTCAAAACAATTCAACATGACTTAGAACTTCGGCGAATCAAAGTAATCAACGTAAGTATACATAATTTCTTTTTATACCCGATAAAAGCCAACTCATCACTTCCACGCAGTATCGGGTGTCAACGTCAAGGGGAGACGGCTAAGATGAGCTCTGGTATCCTGTTCGTAGATAGCATTAATATCACAAAATGTCTACCAAAAGAAACAGATGTACAGAACAAGCACCACCTAAAATACGACAGATACACAACACATTCTGATGCCAGAATCAAAACACACTTCACTAAAATAAATAAATATTGATAACCTCGATATTACAAATATTTTGAAATCACCAGTAGCTCTCAATCTACTCGACCAGACCGGTTATCGGAAGCTGTAGGTTCGAGTCCTACTCTGTTTTCATGATCTTTCTTTTCAAGTTTTTCGTACTTGTTCAGACATATCCACGTGGTTGCATTCTATTGAAAATCATCTAGATTTCTGTGGACAAGAGATGTTATTGCTTAAATTTATTGACTCTTTAATTAACAGATTTATACACACCCAATCCTAATGGTACCTTGCTGTGTTTCATTAACTATTTATGAACGAACTAATCACTATACTAAAGTAGTAACTCTATTGTTCTGATATCTGGATGATATCGTGAATAGGAGTTCTGTTTTGCTGCTTTAGTAGATTACTATCGCACTCAATAAATAGTTAGCTAGTCCTCGTACAGCAATAAGAGTTAATATTTAAGTAAATCTAAATCTCTATTGTCCTAATCTTTATATTTTCAATTGAGTGTTCGGATATGCAACTATATTTATAGTTGGAGTGAGAATTTCAGATAGTTTAATTGGTAAAACAGCCGACCGGTTATCGGAAGCTGTAGGTTCGAGTCCTACTCTGATTTCATGATCTTTCTTTACAAGTCTGTCGTGCTTGTTTAGACATATCCACGTGGTTGCATTTTGTCGAAAATCATTTAGATTTCTGTGGACAAGAGATATTGTTGCTTAAATTTATTGACTCTTTAATTAACAGATTTATACACACCCACACCCACACCCACACCCACACCCTCACCCACACCACACCCACCCTCAAGAAAAACAATCAAATGTTCATTTTCGAAAATTAATTGGATCCAATGTTGTATATTTGAATACTTTTATTGAAAATCAACAAGGTCTATTATATAGTCGTATTACACATCATCCAATTCTTCCACAATTTACATTACCTTATCTTGTTGGTCATTCAAAATTAGGTCATAGTGATTGGTTTCAATGGACATTAATTCGAAGTGTTTGTTGCTGTTCATTAATTGAAGATTTTCGACGTGAACGTATTTATCTTGAATTATCATATCTCACAAATGGATATTCATTATTATTTGTTGAAACTCATATTCAACATTTTTTTGAATACTTTCATACACCTCATCTACAATATATCAACAATCAAACACAATACAATGAATTTCGTCTAAAATGGTTAGATTATATCGGTATGCAATATGAATTAACTGATCAACTTCAACAATGTGAAAATCAAGGTCGTCTTATTCGTTTACATTATTTATATGAATGGGGTCCAAGATGTAACTTTAATCAAAAATTTCTTGAACTATGGTCCGAATACTTTCGTCGTCATCCATTATTATCGACAGAAAAATTGAAAATATTATTAACAACGAAACATGAATATTCCTTAAATACTCTACTAGGAGGACTAGATTGAAATAGAACTTTTGTTTTTTTTTGTAAATACAGCTGTTAATAATATTTCTTGTATCTTATGTGAAACATTTATTATTATATAACAATATAAACATATACATATACTTTATTCATTGTTCTAGATTTGATTCTACTTCTATATACAATTTCAAAAAACAATGCGTCGATCACATGAACAACTCTTTTTTTCAGAGTTATTATCACCAACTACAATGGAATCTATTAATGATGCTGATACTGATAACGACGATGATGATGAACTCAATACAGTACAAGATGAAGAGAATAATAATCCTCAACAACAACAACAACAACAATCGATTAAACAAGAGATACAACCATTAAAGTGTTCAAATCCTGTTGTGAACCGTCTATCTCTATTACCAGCTTATCCAACATTTGATCGATTTGGACCTATTAATAGAGATCATTTACTTTTGGCTAATATTCCTTCTCGAAACTTAACAAATGAACAACGACAACGTCGTACTTATCATTCATTTCATCAACCATTTACTTTAACTGATCAAAGTGTTCATATTAGTGTTCGATCACCGTTCATGAAAATATATGATACATTATATGGAGATTTAACTGAACGATTCCAAATTGATAATGCTATTCTTGATTATAATTATGAACGTCTTCATACTTGTATGAATATTATGGTACAAGAACGAATTCGATATGGTTTACTTGCAATGGATACTATTGGTATGGAAGAATTACGAATTGTTGAACATGCATTAGCTATGGAATTTTATTTACAGATTGATGGTATACAATTTTTTGTTTCTATGATCATATGATTATGTATGTATTTTAGATGAATTGTTTTTTATGAAAACATGTTCTTTTCGTAATGCTCAACCATCATTATACAATCATCATGGTATTTTTTCTATTGATGAACCAAAAGCTGTTTACGGTCTAGAACCATGTGAACAAGTTACATGTCGATTCTGTTTTCCAGTCAAAGATGTTCTTATTCGTGGTCGACAAAATCAATCAGTTGTTCAATTTTCTTCAGCACAAAAACATCGTTTTGTCAATGGATACGAAGCTATTCTCAATTGTCCAACGGTATATACTATCACATGTATAATGTTTTTATCTCTTTCATTTATTTAGACTTGTACTAGAAAGAATATTCTCTATGCATTGACATGTCCTTGTGGTCAATATGATTATATTGGATATACATCATTAACATTGGATGAACAACTCAAATGTTAGTATATTTTCTTTTTAATACTTGATAAGTATCTTCTATATATAGATCATCGTGAACATGGCAATCGAATCATGCATGAATTTATTCTTGGTTCAGAAAAAAATACTCAAATACAACAACAAACAAAATCACAAGAGTAATTAAATTCTTTTCGATATATATGTATATTCATATTACTACACATGTATAAATTGTAGGGAATTAATAGCTGATACTATGTTACTTTATAAACATTCAATTCGCTGTCCATCAGCTATTCAACTATTTCTTGATTGTAATCCACAATACTGGCATTTTGTACTTATGTTAAAAACAGAAATACAAGATTCATCAACAAATAATGTACCATCGATGCCATCCGATAATTATACATTTTCTGCACATCAACGTTTAAAACAAGTACAATTATTAAAAGATAAACGTGAATGCATCAAACCTAGTTTACATCTTGATCTTTACAATGCTACAATTATTGCCGTGATGCCAGACGGATGTACACCATTATTTTATCATTTAATTGAAGCATTATTCATTACACATGCTCAAACAAAATTAAATACACTTGGTCATCTTGATGGAATGATTGTTGAAAATAATAATAGTTATGATATCAATGCTCGATTAGTGAATGTTGGTCAGGAGTATAATTGGTGTCAACATCTTGTGCGTCGTCCAATCATCTTACATGAGAAAACACGAACATTAAAAAGTCATCGAATGAATCCACATTTTCAATAAAATAAACTTTTATCTTTTTTTCTTCTCTTTGACTTTATTTAAATCATATGCTTATTTATATCTTTTATTCTAGATTACTATTATTTTATTCATAACAATGTCTGATAACAATGAACAGCAACAACGACAACAACAAGAAGAATCACGAAAGAAGAAGAAAAAATCTCGTGGTAATCGTAAATTACAAAGATTTAGAGCAAAATTAAAGAAACAAGGTTTAAATGCTGAAGCAATTACAATGATGATCAATACATATAATGATCGATCAAATCAACATGATACTGAAAATGTAGAAGATCCAGCAAATCAAGATATCAACGTACAAGATCTTGTTCAATTGGACCAACAGGTATTATACTGATTGTATGTTTTTAAGAAAAAGATTAAAAATTCTCCATTTATATTAAATAGGAAGTACAAGATGTACTTGAAGATATTGTAACAAGGATAACAACAAAAAGGAAACGAGAGGTACGACCGACAGGTGTTACAACATCAATCAGTCAAATCTCTATGGTACAACCATTGGAGAAACGACGACGTTCTGCTGCTGCCACTACTACTACTGCTGCTACTACAACTGATACTGTAGTTCAACCAAAGAATCATTCGAAGAAGTCAACATTAGCTGTGAAACCAAATTATTTAAATACATCTGATCCTATTTTTAAAAAGATGTTGTCAACAGCTTTCGAAGGTGCTGAAGATATATCTCAATTAGTAGATACACCAGACAAATTACAATATGCTCGTGTATATGCTCAACTTCTCAATGATCTATTCTATTTGAGATTGAAACAAGATTTTTGGAACGATTATTACAACATTCTTGTTACTACAGGAGTATGGTCCATGAAATTATCAAAACAATTTATGAAAGAGAATAAATTAGATCAAGCTCAATTTGTAACACAAAAAAATGTTGAAAAATATCAACAAACAACTGTAGAACAATTACAACAAGTTGAAATTAAATTAAATCAACATAAACAGATCGAACTTGGACAATCGATTGATTTACAAAAATTATCAACAATAATTCTTGCATTTGTACGTAAAGGTCAACAAAAATTATCAGCTGATTTTCAATACAAAAAATCATTATTACAATTTGATACTAATGATTATCATTTAGTGCAAACATTCTATGATTTAAAACCATCTAATGATCAGGTTTGAAATATATTTATGAAATATGTGTGTACTATCATAAGTTAACATTTATATTTAGATTATTTCAGCAAAAATTATTTGGCAAGCAACAATAGACAAACAAAAAGCTGAGCAAAATGTAGCCATATTAAAAAAACGCCTATATATTAAACGATTACCAGCTTCATATAGTGTTCTTGATCATTCAATAGATAACATCGAAAAGATGGTTCAAAATCTAGCACTTCATCAAGATGAATCTGCAACAATATTATCACGACGTCAAAAAATGATTGGTCAATTTAAATATGATATGATATTATTAGAGATTAGTACAAGTGAACAAATAGCTCGAAATCATACAAATATTATTGCTAGTGAAAAGAAAAAAATAATTAAATCTGCTGGCGAACAAGTTCCATTACCAAAATTACTTGTTGGTATTTTAAGTGCTATTTCTTCACGTCAATCAAATATTATTAAACGTGCTGAATTAATTACTAATCGTAAGATGTCTTTTTTCGACGAAGCTCCGATGGTTATGTAAGAAAATCAAGTGGCTGGAACAACCATCGGAGCAATACATTAAAGAAATTTAGCCATATTCGTTTATCATCACCAATCATTGAAGTAGCGCCATATCCTTCATTAAATTATATTCAATATCTTACTAATGGTCCACCTTTTATACCAGTGTGTCAAAGTCATTTCTCAAATCTATCAATGGATACTAGAATTACAAAACAATATAATGCATTTGTTAAGTGCTTTAAAAATAGTTTTTATGACAATCGTGTATCAGGTTCTGATCAACGAGCGAATGACTTTTTTGCATCAATCAAAGATCTGTTGTTAATATCTCATACAACACCATTACCATCTAAATTATTAGCTCGTGCTCGATATGAACAACAAATGATACAGACTATTAAACACACTCGAAATAAACATAATATTATTATACAAAGATCAGATAAAAGTAAAGTATTCCATTTAGCAAGTGCTAATAGTTATCATGAAAAACCGCTTATGTACATGGAAAAAACACAAGCTTATCAAGAGATTCAAAGTGGTATTAATCCAATTAAAGATCACTATGATCACATTTTAACATTACTAAAGCCGTTATTAAACAAGAAAGTAATTAATTTTAGTATTTGGAAACAATACATGTATCCAAATATTCAAACAATCGAATTACCACATCTTTATTTTATACCAAAACCACATAAAGTAATTTCATATTATGACAATACTACCAGTATTCTATTTTTTATGTTTTTATTTTTAGATTGGTACACCACTGAGACCAATTATATTAATGATACGATCACCAGCTATAGGTGTATCACATTTCTTAGATCAATGTCTTCGTCCAATATTTGATCAAGCAACTAGACAAACAACATTTATTAATGATATTCATTTTGTTCGACGACTCGAGTTTTATTCCAGTATTGGTCTTCTAAAATCAACAACAAATTTTATTACATTTGATGTTACTGATCTTTATACAATGATACCAAGAAATGGAGCACTTGTTGCATTAGAAGAATTCTTAAATGAACGTGCCACAAATGGTAGAATCAGTGGAATGACAATTAATACTCTTATGAAATTAGTTGAAGCAGTTTTGGATACTAATTCATT